AAAAAGCAAAGAGAGCCTGGGAGCCTGGGAGCCTCGAACCGATGACTGCAGGCAGCTCCCACGGGGTCCGTTGTGATGAGTATTTTCTCTGGCATGTCTGAACTCGAGGCACTCGCACTCCGGAGACGGAATACTATTCGAATAAGTACCGGTATGGTTGGGTGCTGGTCATCTGTTTGGACCACCAGGTTGGGGTTCACGATGGCCTCATCCCGCAAACTGACTGCCGAATGACATTCTCACAGTGTCTCTGATAAAGGTAGGTTTCGATGACCATGTCCGTTGCTGTGATTTGGATCTGGATTGCCTGCCTCCCCGCCGTTTGTAATCCGCCGCACTGTGCACGGGACGGGCTTCTGTCGAGGAGCAGCCGCCCCCTGCTGACGGAACCCTGACACCAGCATTGAGAACCTGAGATTCGAGAACCTCGACTCCTCGAGAGATCTTGTGAGGGTGTGGGGGAGGGGGAGGGAGAGGGAGCAAACTGCGCCTGCAACCTGCAGAAGGGAGCGACACTTGAAGGGGCATCGCTCAATCACCTGACATGGGGACATGGGGACAATGGATGTCAACTTGCAAGCGGACGACCTCCCACTCCCACTCTCCGCTATTCCCTCCTTGGTCCTGACAGCACAGTTGTTTCTCCACAGCCTACGCGGTAGCGTCTCCTGCGCCAACGCAGGGGGGGGCGGGAAGGACGTTGGCTTTAAAAGATGGCCATCATTGACATGATGAGCGACAGTTTGACGCCAAACATTCTTCATAGCGGCGGTTGCACTGCCGCAAAGTACCTTTGCCTGTGCGCTGGGACTGTGGCGGCATCGACAGCATGGAGGGCTGCCACGGGCTGTTGTCCCTCTTTTCTCTCATGGTGAGATCTGGCAGTATACAGTACCGTTCTGGCGGGAGATGGGAGGCCCTTCCTTTGCCAGTGATTGTGAGCTGCCCGCGAACTGCAGCCACATTCCCTTCCCCACCCCCCCTCGAACCGACGACGACCAGAAAGCTCAACCAACCAACCCCCCTTGGTCCCCAAACGGGCTTTCCTCCTCGCACTGTGGCCGGCCCACCCTTGGTGCCCGCCACTCCCCCGCCTTCATTTTTCAAGTCCGTGCCCTGTCGAGTGGTGACCCGCAGCGTGCCACCTCGCTATTCTCTTTTTTACTCAATCCGTGGTCACCAAACCCATTCAGTCGAGCGCACCCAGGAACGTCACTGACAGCTTTCGCGACCAAGCTTGTCGTCCGAAGAAGGCGTCGGTTACAGCCCAAATCCAGTCAACCGCGACCTCGGTTTTCCTGAAGCGAAACAAACCACGACTTGAAGCTGCGAATTGGGCTTTTTGCTCTGCACCGCGCCTTCCACCCCGACATCTCCCTCCCTCCCTCCCCCCATCGCCCTCCTCCTCCAGGCTGCACGCCCCTTCCCCAGACCCACAAACTGTGCGCCTTGCACTGTCACTACTGGCACTCTGCTCTCTCTGCTCAGCAACCAACCCGGGCCAGACCAGCAGGCGCATGCCTCCGTCCAGCACCCAGAGGCAAAGCAAATAAAAATTAAACGTGATTCCTCGCTTCCTTCCGCCGGCACACCAGACTCGATACAGTGCAGCGCCCAACCAGGTTTCTGCGACAAAAAGGCGACCTCTCCGCTCAACGCCAGATCAAGTCTAGGCCATCGGCACAACGCTCAAAAGAGCATCTCCACCATCTTGCCCTTTTGGTATTCCTCGTGATACCTCGACTGCCTCAACCGCCACCATGGCCGACATCACCGACCAGCACGACCAGACCTCGCCGAACGATCTCGACGAGCCGCATTCGGTCGGCAATGGAAACACCGCCGGCGAGAGCCGTCCGCTGAAGCGCGCCCGCGCCGCTGCCGACGATGATGACGACGACGACGAGAAGGGCGGCCGCGAGCGCCGCAAAATTGAGATCAAGTTTATCAGCGACAAGTCGCGTCGCCACATCACCTTTTCCAAGCGCAAGGCCGGCATCATGAAGAAGGTTTGTCCCTCCCGCTCTGCCAGTCACCTGCGCGTTTCATCCGTCATCTGCCCGCCACCGCGACGCAACCAACGCGGCGCGCGCGCGCGCGTCTCGTCCTCTTTATACCCGATGGTTCAATTGCTAACCTAAATTGTCTTGTTACAGGCCTACGAGCTGTCGGTCTTGACTGGTACGCAGGTCCTGCTCCTCGTCGTGTCGGAAACCGGCCTGGTCTACACCTTCACGACACCAAAGCTGCAGCCTCTTGTCACAAAATCAGAGGGCAAGAATCTCATCCAGGTAAGAGAGAGCCCGCAGCTTTTCCATGCTTCGAGACACGCATCTGACAATTTGATTCCTCCAGGCCTGCCTGAACGCCCCGGAGCCTGCTAGCGGGAACGAGAATGGCGTGGATGACAACACGGTCGAGTCACCCGAAGAACCCTCCAACGCGCACCTCCCACCGCAGCAGTCGAGGCCCGGAATCCCCCCGCACATGCCGCAGAATTATGGGATGGGCGGCGTCGGTATTGATCCTGCGCAAGCAATGGCGTACTCGAGCTACGTGCAGCAGCAGCAGCGAAACGGCCAGTACATGCCTCAGCAGCACGCCGGGCACCAGTCATAGCCTACTCGTCTTGTCTTCTCGATTTTACACTTGCGCCAATACCCAGCATTAATGCATTCGTGAAACGTTTTCCTCTCGACCCATCCGGATGCCATCCCCCTTCATCTGGTTCTGGGACCGGCGTTGACTAGGATGCCTGATGCTCATTCCATCTCTTTTTTGTCCATCATGGGCGGTGGCTTTCTTCGTGGTTGTTTTTTTCTATTTCGACCTCAACATACCACCTGATTTTTTCTCCCTCGAGCATTCGGCAAGCCATTTATGGATAAGGGAGCAAGTCGATGGTATATACTCACCAAGTCAGCTGGTGATAGCTTTTCCATCATTGGGCGAGGAGGGCAGAGAAGCACTGAGCTAGGGGGGAAATAACGAGAATCGTCAACTGAACGTCTCTTCTCCAGTGAGCCTTTTGGACCCTTTCGGGAGGTTTCTATGTGGACTTGGGCGATTACACGATGCACGAATGGAGGGAGGGAGGCGCTGAGAAGGCAACTCATTCATTGCAACAACGACGACCAGGCCTCGGCACGGCTATTGTACAAAAACTGGAACAGCGCCTAGCTCGGGTAGGCGTACTGGCGGATGATGGGAGGAGCGGCTTGCCTCCGCCGGAGACCGACCGCCTTTCTCCTGACCGGTTCCTGGTTTCTTTGGCATGCTGCGACAACTTCGCCCCGGATCGTCTGGGAGGATTGGTGGCAGGGCGGGATTGGAGAATATGGGCTTCGGTGTACTGGTTTTTCTTTGGCTGTCCGCGAGTGAAGCACGGTGATGATGAGCCTGCGGATGTGGACAGGAGGCAGGCAGGCAGCAAGGTCAGAGGAGAACGAAGCTCGAGACCGAGGGGGGGCACAGGGTTGATTAGGGACATCTCGGGGCGGCGGCGGTGACTTTGTATTATAGCACAACATTTTCTTTCCATTGCGACTGAAATACCAGGGGATCTATGATTTCAGTGGGCGAGGGACACAATCGGCTTGTCAGTGACCCGACTTTGTTCTCGTGCCGCTATCTCCGACGCCAAAAGTACCGTCACAATAAGCTTTTCTGAATCAGTGTGCCAGCCCTGCGGATAGAGATTGATTGTCCCTGGGTTTTTTTCGGTTTGCTTGCTTTCTCGGCCGAGTCTATTCCCCATGGGGATGTTAACGAAAGGGCTAGGTTTTCTGCCAGCACTTTGAGCCGGGCCAATGAAATGGGGGCCGAAGGCTGCTTTGGGAAGGGGGGGATCTGTCTATCTATCTTGGTCCCTGCAGCAGCGCCAGGGGATGGTCGCATCTGACCTTGATCTTGGGGACGATGGAAGCGCGAGTTGGGCACGCGGGGTTTCTAAGTTTAGGTTGGCTTGGTCGGAAGTTCGAGGCGGGCATGATGATGCATGCGCGCACGTGAGATCCGGTTTGGGGCTTCTGTCTCCCCGGGGGAATGGGAGCGCGATTCTCGCAAGGCGTTGTTCTTGCGCCATGGATGGTTGGGGTTTCTTGGGAAAAGAGGAAGCAAGTCTGGTTCCTTCTAGAGGTGGGGGGTTACGAGAGGGTTCTCTCCCCTCCCTGGGATCGACTGGTTGCAACCATGGTCTTGGGTTTCCACGCAGGAGAAGTCCATCGGTGCTGTCCCCTAGGTCGTTCTTTCTTCCATCCCCGCGGAGCAGCTACTCTCATACCACCGGTGACATCCCGGATTGAAGCAGCTGCGGGACGTATGTTCGCTTTGTGTCTTGGGGCCAGGGGAACGTTCCTGTCCGAACGACGTGCATAGTGCGGGTTTCTAGTTGGCGTTGGCGTTGTCTCTGATGGGAGCAGGGAGGAACTACTTGGTCACCAGAGAAGTGATCTCACGCCAACCCTTTGCCTCACGGGGTGGTGTCTTGAAAGCTACCTGTCTGCCTGCTGCCTTCGACATGGGAAGTCGTTATCTCGTACACAACCCTCGTTTCCATGTCCCGATTGAGAGTATACAGAGGACCTGACCTTCCTCCTGAAGACGAATTTGCAAGCCGACGACTCGAAGAACTATCGGGAAGTACCTCTCAACAGTCAATTCGGAGAAGGGGACGTCCCACCGACATGCCGGTTCGCTCTTTACTTTAGCATATCAATCATCGCAGGTTCCTCTCTGGGCCTGCACGTTGCCCGGGAAAGGGCGAATGCTGTCATGGAAGGCTCACAGATTTCTCGTCCTAACCTGATAACGGATATCCCCTGACGCACGAGAAGGAGGGGGGTAGGTTGGAAGGAAAAGAAAACCTAAACCAAACACGGGAAATGCGAACCAGACTGTTCCAAGGCATGCCAAAAAGGGGGACATGTGCCTGCCACCGATGATCTGGACGCCAAAAAGATATGTCGAAGCTAACTTGGACAACCAGCAAAATGATAACTTGCCCACTGTCAGAATTGAACTGACGACCTTATCATATCATACCGTATGGGGTTTTTAATTCCCAAGATACGAGTGACACGCTCTACCACTGAGCCAAGCGGGCGTTGCTTGTTAGATGTTATGCATTCGTCGTTGTCAGACTCCATATTCGACCCACCATCTTCCCTGGCCAGATGGAATATGTCCACTTCCATGCTCGATGTCTCCATCAAGCCCCATCCATCTCTGCATGTGACCACAAGCAAATCTGCCAAAAATGGCAAAAAGAAAAGAACCCGCCAAAAAGATTACAGCTGTTCAAGGCTGCCAACTTAATATGTATTTGCCCACTATCAGAGTCGAACTGATGACCTTGTCATGTGACATCCACACCCTTCAATGCAGTATTGTAGGGATTCTCTGGAAGTACTAGTGACACGCTCTACCACTGAGCCAAGCGGGCTTTCGGTGTTGTTGTGATTTCGCTTGTCGTTGTTGGTATCCATATCTGTCCTCGGATCTCCATCATGGCTGACTCGAGGCAGGTGTGCTGTTGGTCCCCTCCACACAGCATATACCCCACCGTGGACAGGGAATGATGGCAGCTGTCCTCGACGGGATTGCTGGATGTCGTTTCTGTACAAGACATGCCAGTGCTGTGTAAAGGACGAGAGGTGCAAGAGGAAGGAGAAAACACGGGCCTGTGATCATTCCTCGGTCCGTGAGAATGCTTCTGACATCCGTTTTTGAAGTCAACAAGGCATTGGGAATCCATATGTGATGCGATGTCGTCAAAGACCGCCCTTGATGCACCGGCATGGTCGAATCGCAAACCTTGAAATGGTGTATTGCAGTTTTGGCAACGTCATCCATCCATCCCTACACAGTATCCCGTAAATAACAACAAAAAGATCAAAAGATCAGGCACATCACCCCTGAATACCGGCTCCGAAGAACAAGCTTCCTTCCGGCAGCCCTACCCGAAACCCACTGTCGTGCCATCTTCCCGCCGTCCCGGACCGCGGGTTTACCCACGCAGAAAATAAATTGGCAGCATCTACCATTCCCGGGAACCATCCAACCAAACATCAAGTCCCCGACAACTGAAATGAAATCCGAGAGTGGTGTTGGGCAAACCGACGTTGGAGGTTGGAACAAAGAACTCGACGCTAAACCCGAGTCGTCGTCCTCGATGCAACCCTTGGCGAGCTTGGCCCGTGGTGTGGGGAACCCCCAGAAGGTGTGGCGGCCCAGGTCGCTGACAGGTGCTCGCTTGCGCGGGTTTGAGCACGTTTCTGCATGAGCTCGCTAGCGTCCTTTTTTCTTTCCCACGACGTGTGAGGGGAACGAGGGGAGCGAGGGCGGCGAGGGTGCGGATGGGTAGTTGTGAGGAGCAGGTAGGCAGTGAAGATGATGCTTTGGATGTTGATACCACCAGTTGATGGTATCGCTCCCTAATGATACGCTCAAAGTGTAGACAAGAACCCGGTACAACTCCATCGCCCTGATCCATGACAATCCCAGTGTCAGATAACAAACGCCCATGCGCCTTGCAGCCTGTCGTGCCATCGTAGATTCGTAACACGCCGATCGGATGCCCCGCGTCCAAAATAATACCAAAACAAAGTGCGGTTCGGTTTAGTGGTCGGTTGTCGTGATAAATCGGCCAACGAGAAGGCTGCCGACGAAGATGCCTCCGAGGACCGACAGGAAGTAACCGACGTTCATGGTCATGACGGCCAACATGCTGCATCGCGATACCATCAGTCCCCATACCAAAATAATCTCGCAGACGAGGAAAGACTCACAGCAAATATCCCACACCCGCAATCACCGTGTCTATCCCCGCGCGGACCGGGTCGACGGTCAACCGCCACGGCCGCGCCCCAAACGTGCGCTTCTGGACCACAACGACATTCTCCTCGACCCCGTTCTCGCTCAGGACCACGTTGGCGTGCTTGGCCAGCGAGTCGTTGCTCAGGCGCTCGGCCAGCGGCGTCTTGCCGGCGACGACGACGTAGCGCCGGTTGAGCTCCTGGTCCAGCCACCGGTTCTCCTGCCACGCCTTGGCCGCCAGCAGCCCGCGGAAGAGCGCGGCCAGCACGATCAGGAAGATACACGTCGCCGCGTACGTGCCCGTGCCGCTGGGCGTCCACGCCGTCGAGTAGAGCGGCGTGGCCGTCGCCGTCTGGAACACTGACATCATCATCATCGGCATGTCGGCGGTGCCGCCGTGCCCGTCCATGTCCATGGCCGCGCCCGAGGTCGCGCCGTGCGTGTCGGCGCCGTGGCGTGCGTGTAACCCGTTCATGTTGGCGGCGGTGGATGTGTGTCTGGGCGTGGATGCGGGGATGATCCCGACTTGTGAGTTCCCTCGGTTGATGTGTGTCTTTGACGAGATGGTGATAACGGCAGGGCGTAAAAGAGAGTAATGTCTCGGCGGGTTATGTGTCGCTGGGTGTTGTATGTATTCCAGAAGCTTATTCGGGTCGACAACTGCCGTTTAACCGCTTTGTTTCACACTTTCTCTCCGAATGATCAGTTCGACGTGAAAGGCCGAGAGCGGGACTCGATGTTTTTAAACTCTGCGTTATTCGTGGTGGCGCCGGGGGGTCCGGTGGTCGTCGGTCTCAAACGGGCTTTGTATGAGATGTGAGGACTCTGTTGGATGGAGAAAGGTTGCCATGTTGAAAATGGGAGGTCGGCGCCTTTTGGGCCCTTCCCTTCTGGTGCCCGGCGGTCATCTTGTGGTCCTGTCGGCCCTGGATTGGGAAACATGCTCAAAGTGGGGGCGCCAAGCGGGAATGGGTCAGAACTTCCCGCTGTGGGCCCTGGCGCCCTGGCGCGCGATCGACTCGGGGACGACAGGGGTGGCCACAGGGCTCATCTCAGTTGCGATTGCGAGTGTGAGCACTGTGAGGACTTTTGAAGGCGCCCGTTTGAACAGCGACAACAAACGACATCTGGGAACTGGAGGATCGCATTTCCCGCTTCCAGACTGTCAACAACTTATCTTTGAGCTTTCGAATTGTGCAAGAGTCTTCTCTTTGGATGATCCAAGCGCCATTTTGAGCCCTCTCGATGTGGCGTTTCTTGAAACCGACGACGTTGAAAGCGATGAAGACCATGGTCCACAGAGGTCCAGACTCGACACGCCTCGACTGCAAGCCACATCTGCAGTCCCTCATCGGGTACACCAGATCTTGGCTGATACCAAACACCTCCTCAGGACGACGATCCGACTGTTGATAGTGCTGGTTCTATGGCGATTGGGCCTTGCCTGGGGATGAACATGCAACGTGGGCAACCGTTGTGGCAGGTTGAACCGGGGCTGGCAGTAACATCATCTCGTCGCTTGTTGCTGTCGCAGCCGTTTCCTGTGGTCCGTCGTCGACGTGCTGCCGTCGAGGCGAAAGAACCGGACATACAAACAAACAGACTTGGGTAGGTTCGTTCGACCCAGAGTCGCAAGCAAAGAGAAACTGAAGCGAGAACCCCGAGCCGTACCGAGAGAACCTTCCCCCAGTCCTACACAAGTAACCTCGATAGCACCTCTGGTTGTATTGGGAGTCATGCTGATAGCAAACACGCTGCAGGGAGAGAGGGCATCTAACACAGCCTGGAAAAGAAGAGCAATGAAGATGAAGCAAAAACACAACCACCTCGCCCCTCTAACGGCAAATACATATCTTATCGGTATCTCCCTCGCACCTACCAGCGCGTCTAGCCCAAAAGCCGTTGGTTTCTTCTCTGTTCTTACAGACAGTTGGTGCCTGCCCTATCCTGCCCTATCCTGCCCACCCGGGAAGTCACAGACCGCCAAACCCTCATCGGTTACGAAGGGAAGCCATGTACTTGTCCACCTCCCCTCCCACTTCTCGACACAAACACGCAAAACCCAAAAGGCCTTCTCGTCCCCCCCCTCCCCCTGTGTACCACGCCGCCCAGGAACGCCATCGAACCATCGGCATGCCGTCCCCTCTTCTCCTTCACCGCGGGCACCGACGCGCCGCCCCTCGATCCCGAACACCTGGCTGCTATCCGTAGTCGATTCCGTCCTTCCGCCCCTCCAGCAGCGTCGCCACCAGAATCATCAACACGGCCCTCCCCCACGCGCAGCCACCCGTCGCCGCCCAAGCAACCACCAGAAGCAGCCTACCCGTCTGCACAGGTGGATCTCAGCCCAACAGCCATCATCCAGCAGCATGCCTCCCGCTCTCGATCCTGGCGCCCCTCCCGGCTGCGTGGGCGGAGCCTCGGTTGGACAAGCCCAACCTCGATGCAACAGCACAACCGGGCTCGACCCGACGGCCCGGACCCCGTCTGCGCGAACGAGTGCCTCGGGAGAGTCTATTTTGACGACAGCTCCTCAACCATGACCCTCATACCGCCCCCTCCCGAAGCAGACTCGCAACATGACGAGTCCACGATGACCGTGGAACATACCTCGGTGCCTCCCCACAAGTCAGAACACCGATTCTTTGATACAGAATTCCCGTACACGATTGACGACATATGACCAATACGGGGGACATGTCTCGGTGTCGATGCTGCCAGGCGGAACCAAGGTCATCGTCCCCCAAGGATCCATCATGACATCCGCTGGGGGGCATGTCACCCCCCCCCCCCTTCGCTGGAAATCCCCGGGACCAAAGACCACGCGGGGAGCACAATTGGTGTGCTGCGAAATGGGGCCCTCCCTGTCACGGTGATTGCATATCAACAACTCTGGCCTGTTCGGGACAAACATCAGACACTTTCGTGGAACCATGGCGTGGAATACCCGTCGTACCAATATTGGAATGTCTTGTGCAACGGTCGGAATCTCTGACTTGGATAACCCACTTTGTTGACGACGTTGCCTGGGTTCCGAAGACGACAGTTGCCCCCCTGGGCCTCCCGAGAAGAGACCTCGCCATCATCCCGCGACCCAATCGTGGCAGATGTGTATCCCGACCGAGGGAGGGCTTGGTGCCTGTTCGGCCTGTTGGCGTCGCTGGCGGCACAGACCGACGACTAATTCGCGACTTTATTTTCCATTTTTGGTTGTCGCGGGAGCAGGGCGGGAGCTGTCTCAGGAGTAACTTCGAGGGTCGGCGCACGGACCACATAGTGGCCCGTACGCTGTGGTGGCCTAAGGCACTAGGGTTCCTCGGACTCGGACTCGGACTCGGACTCGGACTTAGACTTTATTCGGCTACCTACCTAACAATCGAGATGGGGAAAAGCCTACGGCTGGCGGAAACGACGTAATCTTACTACCCTTAGAGTAGGCGACTAGAGCTGGAATTAACTAACTCTATATACTTAACAGCCGCTAGGCGTTACCTAGGCTACGGTAACGGAGTACCGTAGCCGTAGCCGTAGCGTTAACGCTTAACGGCCGCGTACTCGTAACTCTTAACTTACGAACTAACGACTATAAGTAAATAAGGTTTTACCGGCTTCCTCCCTAGCCTCTTC